TCTCTGTATACTCTCCCTATACCCCCTCCCTGTATACTCTCCCTGTATCTTCTCCCTGTATACTCTCCTTGTATTGTCTCCGTGTTTCCTCTCCCTGTATAATCTCCTTATATCCTCTCCCTGTATCTCCTCCCTATATACTCTCCTTGTATAGTCTCCCTGTATCCTTTCCCTGTATACTCTCCCTGTATGCTCTCCCTGTATACTCTCCCTGTATACTCTCCCTATATAGTCTCCCTGTATCCCCTCCCTGTATATTCTCCCTGTATCCCCTCTGTAGACAGAGTAGATATGGTAGATAGGGTAGGGTAGACAATGGAGTAGACAGAGTAGACAGTAGAGTGTAGAGTTTACCGGGAGTTTACTTGGAGAGGGTTTCGGGGTAGAGAGTAGAGCAAACTGTAGAGTAGACAGTAAAGTAGACGGTATAGTAGACTGTAGAGTAGACAGCAGAGTAGACTGTAGAGTAGACAGTAGAGTAGACAGGGTAGACAGTAGAGTAGACTGTAGAGTAGACAAAGTATACAGTAGAGTAGACTGTAGAATACACAGTAGAATAGACAGTAGAGTAAACTGTAGAGTAGACAGAGTAGACAGTTGAGTAGATAGTAGATTAGGCAGGGTAGACAGTAGAGTAAATAGTAGAGTAGAGAGGGTAGACAGTAGAATAAACAATAGATAGAGTAGAGAGTAGAGCAAACCCTATGGAGAGGGAGCATGGACACGGGGGTCGTCCCACAGTTACTAAAAACAACAGACATAGCCCCACTCCACAAAGGGGGCAGTAAAGCAACAGCAAAGAACTACAGACCGATAGCACTAACATCCCATATCATAAAAATCTTTGAAAGGGTCCTAAGAAGCAAGATCACCACCCATCTAGAAACCCATCAGTTACACAACCCAGGGCAACATGGGTTTAGAACAGGTCGCTCCTGTCTGTCTCAACTATTGGATCACTACGACAAGGTCCTAAATGCACTAGAAGACAAAAAGAATGCAGATGTAATATATACAGACTTTGCAAAAGCCTTCGACAAGTGTGACCATGGTGTAATAGGGCACAAAATGCGTGCTAAAGGAATAACAGGAAAAGTCGGTCGATGGATCTATAATTTCCTCACTAACAGAACACAGAGAGTAGTCGTCAACAGAGTAAAGTCCGAGGCAGCTACGGTGAAAAACTCTGTTCCACAAGGCACAGTACTCGCTCCCATCTTGTTCCTCATCCTCATATCTGACATAGACAAGGATGTCAGCCACAGCACCGTGTCTTCCTTTGCTGATGACACCCGAATCTGCATGACAGTGTCTTCCATTGCAGACACTGCAAGGCTCCAGGAGGACATTGCAGACACTGCAAGGCTCCAGGCGGACATTGCAGACACTGCAAGGCTCCAGGCAGACATTGCAGACACTGCAAGGCTCCAGGCGGACATCAACCAAATCTTTCAATGGGCTGCAGAAAACAATATGAAGTTCAACGATGAGAAATTTCAATTACTCAGATATGGTAGACACGAGGAAATTAAATCTTCATCAGAGTATAAAATAAATTCTGGCCACAAAATAGAGCGAAACACCAACGTCAAAGACCTGGGAGTGATCATGTCGGAGGATCTCACCTTCAAGGACCATAACATTGTATCAATCGCAGCTGCTACAGAAATGACAGGATGGATTCAAATTCAAAAGTTTATTCTCTATAAGGATTACAATGCTGAGTTTACAGAATTTGGTTATTGTGTGGTTTACATGTAGTAAAATAATAATTACAGAGTGGCTAGGCATTTCGGGCAGACATAATGAGAACCTTCAAAACTAGGGATGATAAGCCCATGATGACACTCTTCAGGTCACTTGTTCTATCTAGGCTGGAATATTGCTGCACACTAACAGCACCTTTCAAGGCAGGTGAAATTGCTGACCTAGAAAATGTACAGAGAACCTTCACGGCGCGCATAACGGAGATAAAACACCTCAATTACTGGGAGCGCTTGAGGTTCCTAAACCTGTATTCCCTGGAACGCAGGTGGGAGAGATACATGATTATATACACCTGGAAAATCCTAGAGGGACTAGTTCCGAACTTGCACACGAAAATCACTCACAACGAAAGCAAAAGACTTGGCAGACGATGCAACATCCCCCCAATGAAAAGCAGGGGTGTCACTAGCACGTTAAGAGAACATACAATAAGTGTCAGGGACCCGAGACTGTTCAACTGCCTCCCAGCATACATGAGGGGGATTACCAATAGACCCCTGGCAGTCTTCAAGCTGGCACTGGACAAGCACCTAAAGTCGGTACCTGACCAGCCGGGCTGTGGCTCGTACATTGGATTGCGTGCAGCCAGCAGTAACAGCCTGGTTGGTCAGGCTCTGATCCACCAGGAGGCCTTGTCACAGACCGGGCCGAGGGGGCATTGACCCCCGGAACTCTCTCCAGGTAAACTACAGGTAAACAGTAGAGTAGAGAGGGCAGACAGTAGAGTAGAGAGGGTAGACAGTAGAATAGAGAGGGTAGACAAAAGAGTAGAGAGGGTAGACAGTAGAGAGGGTAGACAGAAGAGTAGAGAGGGTAGACAGTAGAGTAGAGAGGGTAGACAGAAGAGTAGAGAGGGTAGTCAGTAGAGAGGGTAGACAGTAGTGAGGGTAGACAGTATAGAGGGTAGACAGTAAAGAGGGTAGACAGTAGGGGGTAGACAGTAGAGAGGGTAGACAGTAGAGAGAGTAGACAGTAGAGAGTGTAGACAGTAGAGAGGGTAGACAGTAGAGAGGGTAGACAGTAGAGATGGTAGACAGTAGGGAGGGTAGACAGTAGAGATGGTAGATAGTAAAGAGGGTAGACAGTAGGGGGTAGACAGTAGAGAGGGTAGACAGTAGAGAGAGTAGACAGTAGAGAGTGTAGACAGTAGAGAGGGTAGACAGTAGAGAGGGTAGACAGTAGAGATGGTAGACAGTAGGGAGGGTAGACAGTAGAGATGGTAGACAGTAGTGAGGGTAGACAGTATAGAGGGTAGACAGTAAAGAGGGTAGACAGTAGGGGGTAGACAGTAGAGAGGGTAGACAGTAGAGAGAGTAGACAGTAGAGAGTGTAGACAGTAGAGAGAGTAGACAGTAGAGAGTGTAGACAGTAGAGAGGGTAGACAGTAGAGATGGTAGACAGTAGAGATGGTAGACAGTAGAGATGGTAGACAGTAGAGAGGGTAGACAGTAGAGATGGTAGACAGTAGAGAGGGTAGACAGTAGGGAGGGTAGACAGTAGAGAGGGTAGACAGTAGAGATGTTAGACAGTAGAGAGGGTAGACAGTAGAGATGGTAGACAGTAGAACTGGTAGACAGTAGAGAGGGTAGACAGTAGAGATGGTAGACAGTAGAGAGGGTAGACAGTAGAGAGGGTAGACAGTAGAGATGGTAGACAGTAGAGAGGGTAGACAGTAGAGAGGGTAGACAGTAGGGAGGGTAGACAGTAGAGAGGGTGGCCAGTAGAGATGGTAGACAGTAGAGAGGGTAGACAGTAGGGAGGGTAGACAGTAGAGTGGGTAGACAGTAGAGAGGGTAGACAGACATGGTAGACAGTAGAGAGGGTAGACAGTAGGGAGGTTAGACAGTAGAGAGGGTAGACAGTAGAAAGGGTAGACAGTAGAGAGGATAGACAGTACAGATGGTAGACAGTGGAGAGGGTAGACAGTAGAGAGGGTTGACAGTACAGATGGTAGACAGTAGAGAGGGTAGACAGTAGAGAGGGTAGACAGTAGAGAGGGTAGACAGTAGGGAGGGTAGACAGTAGAGAGGGTAGACAGTAGGGAGGGTAGACAGTAGAGAGGGTAGACAGTAGGGAGGGTAGACAGTTGAGAGGGTAGACAGTAGAGAGGGTAGACAGTAGAGATGGTAGGCAGTAGAGAGGTTAGACAGTAGGGAGGTTAGACAGTAGAGAGGGTAGACAGTAGGGAGGGTAGACAGTAGAGAGGGTAGACAGTAGAGAGGGTAGACAGTACAGATGGTAGACAGTAGAGAGGGTAGACAGTAGGGAGGGTAGACAGTAGAAAGGATAGACAGTAGAGATGGTAGACAGTAGAGAGGGTAGACAGTAGAGAGGGTAGACAGTAGAGAGGGTAGACAGTACAGATGGTAGACAGTAGAGAGGGTAGACAGTAGAGAGGGTAGACAGTACAGATGGTAGACAGTAGAGAGGGTAGACAGTAGAGAGGGTAGACAGTAGAGAGGGTAGACAGTAGAGAGGGTAGACAGTAGAGAGGGTAGACAGTAGGGAGGGTAGACAGTAGAGAGGGTAGACAGTAGGGAGGGTAGACAGTAGAGAGGGTAGACAGTAGAGAGGGTAGACAGTAGGGAGGGTAGACAGTAGAGGGGTAGACAGTAGGGAGGGTAGACAGTAGGGGAGGGTAGACAGTAGGGAGGGTAGACAGTTGAGAGGGTAGACAGTAGAGAGGGTAGACAGTAGAGATGGTAGGCAGTAGAGAGGTTAGACAGTAGGGAGGTTAGACAGTAGAGAGGGTAGACAGTAGGGAGGGTAGACAGTAGAGAGGGTAGACAGTAGAGAGGGTAGACAGTAGAGAGGGTAGACAGTAGAGAGGGTAGACAGTAGAGAGGGTAGACAGTACAGATGGTAGACAGTAGAGAGGGTAGACAGTAGAGAGGGTAGACAGTACAGATGGTAGACAGTAGAGAGGGTAGACAGTAGAGAGGGTAGACAGTAGAGAGGGTAGACAGTAGAGAGGGTAGACAGTAGAGAGGGTAGACAGTAGAGATGGTAGACAGTAGAGAGGGTAGACAGTAGAGAGGGTAGACAGTAGAGAGGGTAGACAGTACAGATGATAGACAGTAGAGAGGGTAGACAGTAGAGAGGGTAGACAATAGAGAGGGTAGACAGTAGAGAGGGTAGACAGTAGAGAGGGTAGACAGTAGAGAGGGTAGAGAGTAGAGAGGGTAGACTGGGCACTGCGGGTTGACTGCTGTTGTGACGCATCAGTCTTGGGCTGCAGTCCGTACCACGTACATCTCTCTACGTACCGTTTGTGTTTTATCTCCCAGCACGCCCTCTGTACGTTGTAAAAGCCTAGTGTACGTTATTGTCGGTTATAGTACGCCCTCTGTACGTTGTAGCACGCTCTCTGTACGTTGTAGCACGCTCTCTGTACGTTGTAATAGCCTAGTATACGTTATTGAACGTGTAATGTAAGTTATATCACGCCCTTTGTACGTTGTAACAGCCTATTGTACGTGTATTGTACGTTACTGTACGTGTTGTGTACGTTACTGCACATTACTGTACGTGTAGTGCACATTACTGTACGTGTAGTATACGTTACTGTACGTGTAGTGTACGTTACTGTACGTGTAGTGTACGTTTCTGTACGTGTTGTGTACGTTACTGTACGTGTAGTGTACGTTACTGTACATGTAGTGCACATTACTGTACGTGTAGTGTACGTTACTGTACGTGTTGTGGACGTTACTGTACGTGTTGTGTGCGTTACTGTGCGTGTAGTGTACGTTACTGTACGTGTAGTCCACATTGCTGTACGTGTAGTGTACGTTTCTGTGCGTGTATTGCACATTACTGTACGTGTAGTGTACGTTACTGTACGTGTAGTGTAAGTTACTGTACGTGTAGTGTACGTTACTGTACGTGTTGTGTACGTTACTGTACGTGTAGTGTGCGTTACTGTACGTGTAGTGCACATTACTGTACGTGTAGTGTACGTTACTGTACGTGTTGTGTACGTTATTGTACGTGTAGTGTACATTGATGTACGTGTAATGTAGATTACTGTACGTGTAGCATACATTAATGCATGTGTAGTGTACGTTACTGTACGTGTAGTGTACATTACTGTACGTGTAGTGTACATTACTATACATGTAGTGTACATTTCTATACGTGCAGTGTACGTTACTGTACGTGTTGTGTACATTACTGTACGTGTAGTGTACATTACTATACGTATGTACATAACTGTACGTGTAGTGTATGTTAATGTACGTGTAGTGTAAGTTATTGTACGTGTAGTGTACGTTACTGTACGTGTAGTGTACTTTAATGTACGTATAGTGTACGTTACTGTTGTGTTGTATTCGTTACTGTGGTGTTGTGTGCGTTACTGCCCGTGTAGTGTACATCACTGTACGTGTAGTGTTAGTTATTGTGCGTGTAGTTTACGTTACGGTACGTGTTGTGTACGTTACTGTACTTGTAGTGTACATTATGATACAAGAGGCACTATATCTGTACTACGAAGGGAGACCCTGGTCAGAGATTTTATTTTGCTACTGATTGTACTTAATTGTTTTCTGTTTACAATAATGTTTTACCGCTGATTATATCACTGCTTAGCTAATCTTAAGTTAATTTTAAGCCTGCCCGTAATGCTCTGCATTCAAGGGGCTTTGGCATCCTGTGGACGGTAGCGCAAGAGCATATGGATACACAATAGGCCTAGGAACTAGGCCTCAAAAGGGTTAACATGTGTACGTTTGGATTTATATCTACATATCTATAGTTCACTTATCTGTTAGAAGCAAATTTAGGAAATTTGCTTAGTATATCTGGTATCTTATTTTCATTAATAAGATATCTTGACATGTCACATAGGTTATTATACTGTCTGTCTCTGTATTCCTCAATAAGTGGACAATTAAGCACATAGTGTTCAAGACAGTGACCATATGCCTGATCACATAATTTACATTTAGTTTGATCATCATCTGTGTGTCTCCCAAACTGCCAGAAGTACTTGTAACCAAGCCTAAGCCTGGCCACTACAACATCAGTCAGTACTTGTAACCAAGCCTAAGCCTGGCCACTACAACATCAGTCAGTACTTGTAACCAAGCCTAAGTCTGGCCACTACAACATCAGTCAGTACTTGTAACCAAGCCTAAGCCTGGCCACTACAACATCAGTCAGTACTTGTAACCAAGCCTAAGCCTGGCCACTACAACATCAGTCAGTACTTGTAACCAAGCCTAAGTCTGGCCACTACAACATCAGTCAGTACTTGTAACCAAGCCTAAGTCTGGCCACTACAACATCAGTCAGTACTTGTAACCAAGCCTAAGTCTGGCCACTACAACATCAGTCAGTACTTGTAACCAAGCCTAAGCCTGGCCACTACAACATCAGTCAGTACTTGTAACCAAGCCTAAGCCTGGCCACTACAACATCAGTCAGTACTTGTAACCAAGCCTAAGCCTGGCCACTACAACATCAGTCAGTACTTGTAACCAAGCCTAAGCCTGGCCACTACAACATCAGTCAGTACTTGTAACCAAGCCTAAGCCAGGCCACTACAACATCAGTCAGTACTTGTAACCAAGCCTAAGCCTGGACACTACAACATCAGTCAGTACTTGTAACCAAGCCTAAGCCTGGACACTACAACATCAGTCAGTACTTGTAACCAAGCCTAAGCCTGGCCACTACAACATCAGTCAGTACTTGTAACCAAGCCTAGGCCTGGACACTACAACATCAGTCAGTACTTGTAACCAAGCCTAAGCCTGGCCACTACAACATCAGTCAGTACTTGTAACCAAGCCTAAGCCTGGCCACTACAACATCAGTCAGTACTTGTAACCAAGCCTAAGCCTGGCCACTATAACATCAGTCAGTACTTGAAACCAAGCCTAAGCCTGGCCACTATAACATCAGTCAGTACTTGTAACCAAGCCTAAGCCTGGCCACTACAACATCAGTCAGTACTTGTAACCAAGCCTAAGCCAGGCCACTACAACATCAGTCAGTACTTGTAACCAAGCCTAAGCCTGGACACTACAACATCAGTCAGTACTTGTAACCAAGCCTAAGCCTGGACACTACAACATCAGTCAGTACTTGTAACCAAGCCTAAGCCTGGCCACTACAACATCAGTCAGTACTTGTAACCAAGCCTAGGCCTGGACACTACAACATCAGTCAGTACTTGTAACCAAGCCTAAGCCTGGCCACTACAACATCAGTCAGTACTTGTAACCAAGCCTAAGCCTGGCCACTACAACATCAGTCAGTACTTGTAACCAAGCCTAAGCCTGGCCACTATAACATCAGTCAGTACTTGAAACCAAGCCTAAGCCTGGCCACTATAACATCAGTCAGTACTTGTAACCAAGCCTAAGCCAGGCCACTACAACATCAGTCAGTACTTGTAACCAAGCCTAAGCCTGGCCACTATAACATCAGTCAGTACTTGAAACCAAGCCTAAGCCTGGCCACTATAACATCAGTCAGTACTTGTAACCAAGCCTAAGCCAGGACAAAACATCAGTCAGTACTTGTAACCAAGCCTAAGTCTGGCCACTACAACTTCAGCCAGTACTTGTAACCAAGCCTAAGCCTGGCCACTACAACATCAGTCAGTACTTGTAACCAAGCCTAAGCCTGGCCACTACAACATCAGTCAGTACTTGTAATCAAGCCTAAGCCTGGCCACTACAACATCAGTCAGTACTTGTAACCAAGCCTAAGCCTGGCCACTACAACATCAGTCAGTGTTCACATTGCAAGTTGCTCCATAAACATACTTATCTACGTTCATGTTATCATAGTGGATTATAGATCTACTCAGGCTTCTAACTGCATTCTTATAACAATCATTTTCATTATTTACTTCTCTCCTAATATTATTCCTAATGCTAGACACAGTTATACCAAAGTTATGTTCTACATTCTCCTTCTGGGTACTCTTCTTGGCTAACATATCAACTTTATCATGAAGGAGTAATCCAATGTGTGATGGGATCCATACCAATTGTACATGAATTACTTTGTCCCTGATTTTTGAGTATCTATACCTGGCTTCTCCAATGAGCTTGTTGTTGGAGTCATTATATGAGTCAAGAGCCTTCAATGATGACATAGAATCAGTAATGATGATAGAGTCAAGCTCAGTGTCATAGGTTAGCTTTAGCGCCATTAGGGTTGCAAACAATTCAGTTTGTAGTGTAGACGCCCAGTTAATTCTTATGCCTAACTCAACAAATTTATTATGGTTCTTAACTAGGGAGGTGGCAACAAGAGCAGATGCAGCCCTGCCAGAAGACTCCTGTTTAGATCCATCAGCGTATATAACTTGTGATAACTTATTACTACCAGCTAGGCCAGAAATTTCTTCTTGAGCAGTTGCTTTAACAAGAGATTTAAGGAAGGGATTACTAGCAATGAGCTTCTTGGGAGGGACTCTTCAGAGAAATAGCAAACTTGGAACTAAAGCTAAAGGAATCTTACGGGAGACAAGAAACGCGAGAAAAAATAAAAGGCATAAATTAAATTGAAAGAAACCCAAAATATTTCTTTTCTTATGCCAGATCAAAGTCGAGAACAACATCCAGTATTGGGCCCCTACTTAAACAAGATGGGTCCTACACAAATGACAGCAAGGAAATGAGTGAGCTACTCAAGTCCCAATATGACTCAGTTTTTAGTGAGCCGCTAACCAGACTGAGAGTCGAAGATCTAAATGAATTTTTTATGAGAGACAGAAATTGGCAGACTCGAATCTATCTGATATTACCATGACACCAAATGATCAAACAGGCGATAAATGACATGCCCATGCACTCTGCCCCAGGGCCAGACTCATGGAACTCTGTGTTCATCAAGTACTGCAAGAAGCCCCTATCAGGAGCTTTTACCATCCTATGGAGAGGGAGCATGGTCACGGGGGTCGTCCCACAGTTACTAAAAATAACAGACATAGCCCCACTCCACAAAAGTGGCTGTAAAGCAATAACAAAGAACTACAGACAGATAGCACTAACATCCCATATCATAAAAATCTTTGAGAGGGTCCTAAGAAGCAAGATCGCCACCCATCTAGATACCCATCAGTTACACAACCCAGGGCAACATGGGTTTAGAGCAGGTCGCTCCTGTCTGTCTCAACTACTGGACCACTATGACAAGGTCCTGGATGCTCTAGAAGACCAACAAAATGCAGATGTAATATCCACAGACTTTGCAAAAGCCTTTGACAAGTGTGACGATGGCGCAATAGCGCACCAAAATGCGTGCTAAAGGAATAACAGGAAAAGTTGGTTGATGGA